TTAGTTCTTTTAGCAGTCCACGGTACTTTCAGCATTCTTCGCCAGCACCACAACTCAAAAGCATCAACTCTTCTTCGGTCTTCCTTACCCATTATACCACCCTTAAAATACTAAAGAGCCCTTAAAATACTAAAGTCCAGAATAAATTCTGAATGTTGTCAATATATTTTGACTATTGCTAATCATTTTATCTTACCAACCAGCCACTCCTTGGAAGGAAGGTTGGGCAATCTACTTCCTCAGAAACCCAAGAAGGGATTGCTATGAGTTGGGTCCGACTCAACGGCACATAACAACAACAATCAAGTTTATATAGTTGGCATTCTGCCTTTTTTTTTAACTTATCAGTCAATCAATACTTATTTATTTGAATATTAAAAGGCTAAATGATATTCTATCATGTTGCCAGAATGGCATAATCATTTTCCTACTAAACTACTATAAAACATCTAGGCTATTTGTTTTTCTTTTTTAATTATTATAAATAGTACTTGAAAATCTTTGTATGGGTTCACATTTTTCTTTTTTTCCCCTGTTGGAGTATATACCCCAAAAGAAAAATACTGGGTTCAGTGATCCTAACTGAAAAGTTTTACTGCTTCTACTAAATGTTACGAGATTATGTAGGCAATAGTATGTGTAGTTTGCATTTACTTAATGATAGTGAAACCTACAATGTATAATTTTGTCTTACAGTCTCATCAATAACAGAAACTTACCAAATTTAATATTGTAACTAATGGGAAAAAGAAAGGGTCAATATCACATTTAGAAGAGAATAATCAGTGGTCTAAATAACATGACTTTTATTTTCTAGGCAAAAATTACTAATGACCAAAACAAGTTTCCTGATTTCTGTTTAAACACAGTGAACTGGTATATTCATCTATTTTCTCTTTCTCCTGAAATCCCACTAAAATGAAAGTAACGAAATAAGAAAGGAGAAAATAATAAGGATAATGAGAATAGAGAGAAGACAGTGTATCAACATTTCAACTAATTTTTAGAAGATATTAAGATGGAAAAGTGATTAACTGACAGAGCTAAAAGGCCTCCTCTGGGGGCCTGCAATGGAAGATTCCTAAAAGCAGCAAGTGGATTCCCAGTATAGGAGTCAGAAAGGCAGGATGAAACACAAAGTAAGATAGAAGAATTCTAACAATTGGTAAAAACTCTGTATATTGATCCCTTAGACACTCTAAGTGCCCTCTGCATTTCCATGATAACCACTCCTGGAAGGAGAATCCAGGATTGCAGATTCAGGCTGGTTGAAAGTAGCTAGAAAAGAGTGGTGGTGGTGGTTGTTATGTGCCGTCAAGTCGAACCCAACTCATAGTGACCCCTCCTTGGGTTTCTAAGGCAGTATCACTACAGAAGTAGATTGCCCAACCTTCCTTCCGAGGAGTGGCTGGTGGGTTTGAACCGCCAGCCTTCTAGTTAGTAGTCTAGTGCCTTAGGCACTATGCTACCAGTTGTTGTTGTTGTTGTTGTTATGTGCCATCGAGTCGGCCCCGACTCATAGCGACCCCTCCTTGGGTTTCCGAGGCAGTATCACTACGGAAGTAGGATTGACCAACCTTCCTTCCGAGGAGTGGCTGGTGGGTTTGAACCACCAGCCTTCTGGTTAGCAGCCAAGTGCTTTAGCCACTATGCTACCAGAGCTCCCAGAAAAGAGTGGTAGCCTCTATAATTCTAAGGCAAATTTTCTTCAACCTACAGTTTTATACCCAGCCAAACTATATTCAAGTGTGAAGGCAGAACAGCAATTTTTCAGGCAAGCAAGACCTCATAAAATTTATTTTCCATTCACACTTTCTTAGAAAGTTCATGGAAAATGATGTATTGCTGCAAATAAAGAAGTGAAAGAGGAAAAAAATGTGGCATTCAGAAAATAGGGTATCTCACACTACTGAAGAGAGTCTCCACATGCAGCAGACCCAGAGGGTAACCAGTACTGACTCAGGAGGAATGATGGAGGGCTCCACAAAGGATATCTTCAGAGGAAAAAATATATAACCGATGTGTTTGAACAATTTCACCAAGTGGTGCCAACAACAGAAATGTTTAAATATTTAGAAAAACCAATGCTTGGCATAAGTGAATACATCCTAACACTGTGCAAATACACAGTACAACCTCTCCACACCCCTATAATCCAGCTTCCACAGCTCCAACAGCAGGCATGAAAAGAGAATCTCAGAATTCTATATACTCTGGGTAAAATGAGTCCAACACCAACTTGTATTTCCATCAGCAGAAATAAAGGAATTCCAAGTAGTGAAGAAATGGACTTCTAAGTAGAATTTTCTCCTGCCCTTTATTGCATCTGGATGTTGCAAATAGCTAAAATGATGGGGGTAGGGGGGTTCCTAAATTTGGCATGTACCTGGCAAGACCCTGCAAAACTTCAATCTCCTTAATAACCACAGCCACACCACTACCATCTGCTTTAAATCCATCCAGAAAAATCTTTTTATTTACTTAGACACAAGAAATCCAGGACTTCCCTAATTCTCCAGTATCTTATTACTACAGGTTATCCTCTTTCCTGACCCTATCTCCCATCTCTCCCTTGCTCAAAACTTTGCCCTACCTCAGTCACTCTTTCTTACAGTCATATACTGGAATTTGACATCTCCAAATGTCAAGACAACCTCCAGAATTTTATATGAAGCATCCAAATCTCTAACCAGTTCCTACCTTTTCCTCTTATTATTTCCAACATCCTGACTCTAAACCACTGTTGTTAGGTTGTTGTATTACAGTCAACATCCTGACTCTAAAACGCCAGGCCTGATTAAATCCAATGCTCTATAAAACGTGCCCCTCAATTCACAGAGCTGACCACAGCTGGAGAAAAATACTGCCAGGCTGACTAGAAGTCAGGTATGCTGCTTGGAAATAGTCCATTCATTCTCCTCATCTTCTAGTTAACTATTTCACTCTTTCTCCTCACTCTTCAAATACCTTATCCTCACTACCACCACCATCAGTTGCTGTCAAGTTGATTCCGACTCATGGCAACCCCATGTGGTCAGAGTAGTACTGTGCTCTGTAAGGTTTGCAATGATTTTTTTTTTTTTTTTTTGGAAGTATTTCGCCAAGCCCTTCTTTTGAAGTGCCTTTGGGAGGACTCAAGCATATCAATCATTTGCACCATCCAGGAACTCCTTATGCAGACACCTCTTCATCCATTAGCTCCTTTGTTTTCACAACCCTCCTCTGAGGTTGAGAAAGGACAGAAGAGTAAGAAGGTAAAAAGAAGATTAAGAAATAGAGAAGCCAAATTAAGTTCACAAACTAGCTGAGCAGTACTCATACCATCACTCCGTTTTACCTCTGAGACCCTGCAAGGAACAAGACCCAGACGCGTGTCCTAGGCTTTGGATTCTAGTAATGAGAGCGCCAGAGACATAAACTGATAAATGACAAAAAGAGATGGTAGCTTCCAGTAAGTAAATGTGAGCCCCCGACAGTCCTCGGAAAGGCAGGAAGGCCTGGCACCGTGGAGTTTCCTCACAGACACACTAGCAAACAGAATTTGGGTTTAGCACAGTAGCTTCAGAAACCCGCTCAAAGTTCTTCAGACCTGCCATGTAATGGGGGTGGGGAGATCCCAGTCGCTATGTGACCCAAGTCGAGGGCCTGCCCTCAGCGAGGCCCAGAACGAGCACGGGGACTCCGGGACTGGCACGGGCTTTTCCTCGGCTCCTGGGAGCCCATATTGGCGGCGCGGAACCAGACGCCCGCCTTGGCGTGCAGCTGCGGGGCTCATCGGGTCGTCGTCACCGCTCTCCTCAGCAGTACCCCTCGCGCGCCGGGCCAGGCGTTAAAGACCCGGATGCAGCCCCTGAGCGGGCACCCTCCTCCCATAGCTCCTCCTAGCGGCGAGGAGGCGTGCTAGATGCGGGCCAAAGACAAGCTGGGGAGGCGGCCGGACCCTTGAGGGTCTAATTGGTGGTTACCGGGTAGAGGTAGAGTACCGCTCCCACCAACGCCAGCAAGAAAGTAACGGCGAAGATCGCGAAGTCCAACATGGTTCTTCCGCTCTGGGAGCCACGTCTCAGATCCACTGCTCGAGCAGCAGCGTCTCAGCCTGGCCCGACCTAAGGAACTAGCGTTAGGGCGGAGGAACCCCCAGGGACCTGTGAGTGAATTGGCAGCTGGGGGCGGGACCAGAGCCTGACGGCCTGAGCTGTGGGTGGGGCATAGGCCGTCAGGGAAAGCAATGGATCGCCGAGGAGCGAGAGCATGGTACCTTGTGCATCCAAACACAAACGCGCACGCACACACTTCCATCTATTTCAACTAATAGCGACCCTCACTGGGTTTCCGAGGCTGTAAATCATTATGGAAGTAGATGGCCCCATCTACCTTCTGGAACAGCTGGTGGGTTTGCAAGGGTGACTTGGTTAGCAGCCAGATGCCTTATCAACTATGCCACCAGTCTTCCCACAATGAGGCCGGGAAGTGGGACCCTCACCCCAGGATGGGGATTCAAACAAAATAAAAATAAAAATAAACCACTGTCATGGAGTCTGTTCTGACTCATAAGACCTCCACTGGAATTCTGAGGAGGTAAATCTTTATGGAAGTAGATTGCACCATCTTCCTTCTGCGGAGTGGTTGGTGGATTTAGTAGTACCTAAGGCATTTAACTGCCAACCAGTAGGTTGGCGGTTCAAATCCACCAGCCACCCCACAGAAGGAAGATTGGGAGTCAGAATCAACTTGGTTGCAGTGTTTCCTTTGGTTTGGTAACCTTCTGGTTAGCAGTCAAACGCCTTAGGCACTGCACCAGGAGACCTCCTAGTTTTAAGTTGAAGATTTGTTAGGTGCCCTTCAGTGGGCTCTGACTCATAGCAACACTATGTACAACAGAATGAAACAGTGCCAGGTCCCTCACAATCCTTGCTGTATCTGAGTCCATCCTTGCAGCCACTGTGTCAATCCATTTTGTTGAGGGTCTTCCCCTTTTTTGCTGACCTTTCACTTTACGAAGCATGATCTCCTTCTCCAGGGAATGGTCCCTTCTGATAACATGACCAAAGTAGGTGAGAGGAAGTCTGGCCATTCTCACTTGTAAGAAGCATTCCAGATGCACTTCTTCCAGAACAGATTTGATAGTTCTTTTGGCAGTCCACGGTACTTTCAATGTGCTTCGCCATCACCAAAACTCAAAAGCTTCAATTCTTCTTCGGTCTTCCTTATTCATTGTCCAATTTTCACACAGATTTGAGGAGATGGAAAATACTGTGCCTTGGGGTCAGGTGCACTTCAATCTTCAGAGTGACATCCTTGCTCTTCAGCACTTTAAAGAGGTCTTCTGCAGCAGATTTTTCCAGTGCAACATGATGTCTGATGGCTTGACGCTGCTCCCATAGGTGTTGATTGTGGATCCAAGTAATTTGAAATCTTTGGCAACTTCAATCTTTTCTCCATTTATCATGATGCTGCTTACTGGTCCAGTTGTGAGGATTTTCATTTTCTTTATGTTGAGGTGTAATCCATACTGCAGACTGTTGTCATTGACCTTCATCAGTAAGTGCTTCAAGTCATCTTCATTTTCAGCTAGCAAGGTTGTGTTGTGTGTATATCACAGGTTGTTAATGAGTCTTCCTCCAATCCTGATGCTGCATTCTTCTTTATATAGTGCAGCTTCTCAGATTATTTGCTCAGCATACAGATTGAGTAAGTATGGGGAAAGGATACAACCCTGACGCACATCCTTGTGCTCTTAGAACAACAGCCTATGTACAGTCTATGTACAAGTTCCTCATGATCACAATTAAGTATTTTGGAATTCCCATTCTTCGGAATCATAACAATTTGTTATGATCCACACGGTCAAATGCTTTTTCATAGTCAGTAAAATACAAGTAAACATATTGTTTTAAGATTACAGCTTCCAAAATAATGGTTCCTAGAGTGTAATCCCTTGACCAGCATTATCAGTATCATCTCAGAACCTGTTAGAAATACAGATTCTCAACCCTACCCTAAACCTACTGAATCGGACCCCCTGTTTTAACAAACTCTCCAGGGCATGATTCTCTTGGACACTCAAACTGGAAAACCACCGACCTAAACTAACCTGGACAGGAAAGTCTCCAGGAGTTACTCAGTATTGGATGTCCTTTCCCAGTGTCAAAACAACTTGTTTGAAGTGTCAGAGTGGTGCGTGAGTGGCAGACAAACTCATCAGTGGTGGATAAGAGGATTCCTGGCTTAGCTAGTCCTGATTTTTAGTAAATTGCTTGAACTTTCCACATTTCCATTTCCTTCTAGGTAAAACTGAAAATAATATCACACAGTTGTCTGCAGGGTTAAATTATTTTATGAAAAGCACTTAGCACACAGTTCCTGATAAAACTGAGTTAAGCTGTACATACTTCAGCATCTAACATTAGCAATTCTGAGCACAAATGGCCTAGGATCCGACTTCTTTCACATGACAAGTTTTGACATGGATAATATGAGGCAAGACACACTATTGACTGGTGCTCCATGCAGTGAAAGCATTGATTTATAGATTGTATAATGTTAATAATATAAAATGCCAAGAAGAGGCAGCGGCTTGTAAATCTTTCCAGATTGCATTGTAGAGCTTTTATGATAAAACACTATTACATAAGCATGAAACATGTCATTGAAAATGCCAAACCTTTTAGCATCTATAGTAAGTGACGGAACAGTGACATTCAATCTTTCATTTGGCAGAAATTACACTTTGAATTCTAGTTCTCCTAATATGTATTTCAAAAAGTCATGTGTGTTTCAAACATTCACTTTTAAATCTCATTTGGAATTCTAAAGACATTTTCCATCAAAATGATATTACAAATAGGTTTTCAAAACAGTAAATATAAGATCTAAAAACACATAATGTAGTAATATAATGGTAACACTAAGGCATCGATACTCCAGGATAGCCAAACTCTCCTCTTGGTCTTAAACTGACCTATAACCTAGACCCTCTGAACTTTGAGGGTCTGTGAAAGAGAAACAAAGATTCTAGAGGTTGGGACAGGGCAGAATATTTTAGAGGCTGAGTCACTGCAAAGCCTCCAAGACTGAACAACTAGTTCTCCTTTAGTCCTTGGTGATGCAAATAGCCTATTATCCAAAAGGCTGACAGCTGGTAGCCGGTAGCCAGGAAGTATCAGCGAAGAGGTACCAAGGAAGACAGGCCTGGCAATCTGCTTCTGAAAGGTCACAGCCTTGACAACCCTACAGAGCAGTTGTACTCTGCACACATGGGGTCACCATGACTCAGAATCCACTAGATAGCAACTAACAACAATTTACCTTCATGTGGTTTATTTCAGTGTTCCTTCAAACTTTTGCCCAGATACTCTCAAAGTATTTTGAAAAATAACATACTTCATTACATCTAAAATTATTTTGCCTTTAAAAGATTAAATTTGTGGCTTATAGTAAAATTTAACAGTTTAAAATAAGCTTGTTATGAAAAATTTTGGAAATGAATAGTGGTGATGGTTGCAAAACATGATGAACAATATCATTAATATATATGTAAGTAAAATTTTGCTGAATATAATTAAAAAATAGTTTAAGCAATAAATCAACAGGGACTGCCAGAAAGTCAAGACAGATTCAGAAGAGGACGTGGAGCAAAGGATAAGCGTTGATGTCATATGGATCTTGGCTTAAAGCAAAGAATACCAGAAAGATGTATTGACTATGCAAAGGGATTTGACTGTGTGGATCATAACAAATTACAGATAACACTGAGAAGAATGGAATTCCAGACTGTTTATTGTGCTCATGAGGAACCTGGACATAGACCAAGAGGCAATCATTTGAACAGAACAAGGGGATACTGCACGGTTTGTAATCAGGAAAGGTGCAGCCTTTCGTCATACTTATTCCATCTGTACGCTGAGCAGAAATCCGAGAAACTGGACTATATGATGAAGACTATATGATCCGAGAAACTGGACTATATGATGTCATCAGGATTGGAGGAAGACTCATTAACAACCTGCAATATGCAGGTGACACTTTACTTGCTAAAAGTGAAGAAGGCTTGAAGCACTAAGTGATGAAAATAAAAAAACTATAGCTTTCAGTAAGGATTACACTTCAATAAAAGAAAACAAAAATCCTCACAACTGGACCCATAAGTAATATCATGATAAAATGTTCATTTTACTTGGCTCCACAATCAACACCCACAGAAGCAGCAGTCAAGAAATCGAAGGAAGTATTGCAATGGGCAAATCTGCTGCAAAATTTTAAAGAAAATGTTCAAAAGAAGTCACTTGGAGGACTAAGGTACACCTGACGCAAACCACTGTTTTTTCAATAGCCTCATATGCATGTGAAAGTTGGACAGTGGATAAGGAAGACTGCAGAAGAACTGATGCATTTAAATGGTGGTGTTGGCAAAGAATATTTAATATTCCATGGACTGCCAGAACAACAAACGAATCTCGGAAGTAGTACAAGTCTTGGAAGTAGTACAGCTATAATGCTCCTTAAAAGTGAGAATGGCCAGACTTTGTCTTTTGTATTTTGGTCATGTTATCAGAAGGGCCAGTCCCCAAACAAGGATATCATGCATGGTAAAGTAGAAGGTCAATGAAAGAGGGGACAACCCTCAATGAGATGGACTGACACAGTGACTACAACGATGGGCTCAGTCAAGCATGGCAACAATTTTGAAGATGGCGCAGGACTGGGCAGTGTTTTGTTCTGTTGTATATAAGGTTGCTGCATGAAACTGACTTCATGGCACCTAACAATAATGACACAGTGATTTGATGGCTATCATCAAATATTTTTTAGAGAAATACATTTAAAAAAAAAAACTGTGAATGGCTGGATATTTTTTGTGGTTCCTTTTTCTGAACTTATTTCTACTTCACAGAATTTTATCCTAACAAAGATGTTTTTATCCTTGAATGTCTTATTTTTCCATCATTTGCCATCCTTGTTTTCAACATGTATGCATACTGAATTTTTTTAAAGTTTTAATCTGTGACCCAAAAACTCCTTCTACATATTTTTTAATATTGCAAAAAAAAATTTTTTAAAGACTTAAATACA